AATACAGAACAACGTCAAATAAATAAATTATTGCTATAGGAGCCTTGGAATGACAAAAGCAAACCAAGCCCAAAATGAAAGCCAAAGAGCCAAAATTAACAGCAGGAAGAAGCTCATGAAATGGAAAAAAAAATTCAATGAATCAACGATTGATTTACAGAAGAGAAGCATTATTTATGAACTGTTAAGCATACTAACCAAAAGAAAGATAGAGAAGTCTAGATTAATATAATAAAGAGCCAAAGGGGAGACATTGAAATAGCATAAAATCTAGATAATCAAAAAATATTTTAAATACTTCTATTCCACTTAATTAAACAAAAAATGATAGCTAAATAAAATTAAATGTATAAACATTTTGATAGACCTGAGCTATCAAAATTAAAGAAAGATGAGATAAATAGTTATAAATATTTAAAACAGCTAGATAGAAGCCACCAATACCTACAACATAAATTCCTAATGGAAGAAGAAAAAGAAAGGAAAAGACTCCAGACAATGATGGATTCACTGGTAATTTTATAAAACTTTAAAAGAAAAATAAAAAATGTTTCTCAAATTATTCCATAAAAGGGAAAGTATGAATTCTACCAAACTCTTTTCAAGAAGTCAGAGGAACTCTGATATTAAATGCAGATAATAAAACAGAAAACAAAAAAGAAAATAATGGGCTGGGAGGTGGTGGCGCATGCCTTTAATCCCACCACTCAGGAGGCAAAGGCAGGAAGATCTCTGTGAGTTTGAGACCAGCCTGGTCTACAAGAGCTAGTTCCAGGACAGGCTCCAAAGCTAGAGAGAGAGGGGGGGAGGGAGGGAGAGAGGGAGGGACGGAGGGAGGGAGGGAGGGAGGGAGGGAGAGAAAGAAAGAGAGAGAGAGAGAAAGAAAGAAAGAAAGAGAAAGAGAGAAAGAGAGAAAGAAAGAAAGAAAGAAAGAGAAAGAAAGAAAGAAAGAAAGAAAGAAAGAAAGAAAGAAAGAAAGAAAAGAGGGAAGGAGGGAGGGAAGGACATTATATATCTATCTTTGATAAATAAAAAATGTAAAAATTCTCAATTTCATATAAAGATCACTTATCAAGTTTGCTTTACTCCAAAGAAGCATAGATAATTATAAAAGGCAAATCAATAAATTTAATCAATCACATACAGGAGCGTAAGGACATATGTCACATGACCATCTGAATAGTTGCAGAATAGGCTTTTGGCAAAACTCAGTATTCCTTCATAATAAATCTCCCGAAGAAACCAGCAATAGAAGAAATGTAACCTAAATTGCTAACTGAAGGGGATTTCTGCGCAGCAGGGGCTCCCTTCCAGATCCAGGACTAGGCACAAACTACACCTAAACACCTGTTTTCACAAGAGATCCTTTCTTAAGTGGGGAAGAAAAGTTAAAGTGGTGCTTTCTGGCTCTGGCAGAAAACAACAGCAAATGACCTTGCAGGTGTAATTTTTAAGGAGAGAAAAGGGGGAAACATGTTAGAATGGGTTAGGATGCAGTGGGAAAGGAGATAGGGGACAAGGGAGAAGGGGAAGGGACATCTGTACCAGAGGGACAAAGACAGCCTCTAGAGAGAAGACAGAAGTGGCCCACAGGAAAATGGCAGTTTATAAAGGAAAGGGGGAATCCTGTGTTAGGATGAGGTGTTTGATTTTAATTGGGCATGTTAATTAAGTGAACCAAACAGGACTTCTGATTGCTTGACTTTGGTAGTCAGCCTCAGGAGGAAGAAATGGCCAAATAAGGGAAGACCTTGGTGACTAATTTTAGGAATGTAATCTAACAATTTTTAGCAAGGCAGAGGGAAAGAAAAGGGCAAGGCCTGCCAGAGCCACATGCTCAAGTGGGCTAGTGTCCTTTCACTAACAGCTATACACGGAAAACATATAGGCTGCATTATATTAAATGGGTACAATTCATTTTATTAAAATCAAGAACAAGAAAGGGCTGTCCACTTTTCCCACACTTATTCAATATAAGTCTTAGATAGAGTTATGAGACAGGAGAGGAAAAGGGATACGTGTAAGAAAGGAAGTTGTCAAGTATCTTGTCGATGATAATGATGCTATATATAAGGCATCTTATAAAATCAACAAGAAAGTTCTTAGAACTCATGAACATTTTCAATGAAGCACAAAGATAAAAAAACAATAACATACAAAAAAATCCACAACCTTTGTATAACCTGAAAACAAATCACTCAGGAACAGATCAGGGAAATACACTCATTCATAATTGTCACACGCAAAACAGCTTTGTAGACTGTGAATTTAAATGAACTTAGTTACAGGAATATAGGTGAGGGGTTACTTATAGGAGCAGAAATGACACAAAGGCAGCTGCATTCCCCAAACCCCACCGACACAGGCAACAGCACACAAAAACTAAAAACCTGGAGCACACTGCACAGCTTATGGGCAGCTCAACGGGTTGTTGAATGTTCTTTCCATGTGACTCGGTTGGTCTCAACCTCTTCCCTTAACTCAGCTGATGACTGCTTCTTCCAGGCAGATGATCTGGTTTCAGAGTCTTCTTTGCAACTTGTCTTGTTTACTTTGCCAGGAAGGGACCTAGAGAATCTGATTAGTTTCAGGGACTTCCTGAAGCTCTTTTGAGTTGTTTACCTTCCTGTTTAAAGAGCTTCTCTACAAAACTGAATGTTTCAGTCTTGGAAAAAGTTTTTATACAACAAACACTCCTTAAGAAACCATCCCAATGTCACGATAGTAAAATTCCCTGCGATGATTAGATGATTAGAATCATCAATTTAGATGACTCAGGCATTATGCTGGTCTGATCTGTCATCTGGCAGGATGTACCTAAAGAGTACCATGACAAGCCCAGAGCCTTAGTCTATATGCATGTGCAAAGGTCAAGTTTAAAAGACAAGTTTTTAAAAGACAAGTTCTGCCCACTACCAGTCTCTCTTACCTGCTGTTCCTCTGAAGGAGCAGGTAGGACTTTTTCTGCCTCTTCTCTTTTCACTCTCTCTTTGTCTCTCTGTCTCTCTCTCTCCGTCTCTCTCTCTCTCTCTCTCTTCTCTTTCTTTATCTCCCTTCATTTTTCCCACTCCCTTCCCTTTCCCCAATAAAACTCATTTAAGCTCTGTCTTCATGGCATAATTGTCACCGGCCATGGTTTGGACCACCTGTCATGGAACACCTCAGAGGTCTTGAGCACATGGTCCTCATCTGCCACGGGTGCCGTTTTACAACACACGTTCAAGATGGCAGAAAGGAATAAAAATATTCTCAGAACTAGTCTGAAGACGTTAAAATAATGCTACTAAAGAGAATAGCAGGAAATAATAAATACTGTTTAGAAATAATTCTCAATATTAACAGCCTTAATTTACCAATGAGAAAACATACACTAACATTGGATTAAAAAATAGGATCTATCTTTTTCCTCCAAGAAATATACCTGTCAAGGACAGGCACTGCCTGAAGATAAAAAGATATAAAAAGATATTCTAATCAAATTGAACTGAAAAACAAGCAAGCATTCTAATATCTCACAAAATAGACTTCAAACCAAAACTAATCAGAAGAGAGAGGGAAGAACATTCATTAAAGGAAACACCCACCAAGAGGATATTACATTTCTAAACATTTTTTACAAAACACAGGGGCATCCAGTTTTATAAGAGAAGGGATATTCAGTCTAAAATCAAAGACTCCAGCACAGTGTTAGTGGTGACTTCAATACCCTACTCCTACCCACAGACAGATCATGCAGACAAAAACTAAACTGTAATTAAATAAAATCCACAGAACATTGCATTCAAACACTAAAGAATAAATTTCATCTCAGAGAGTTTGTATTTGACCACAAGGGAATAAAGCTGACTGCCAACAATCAGAAACAACACAACTATACAAACTCATTAAAGTATAAAACACACTACTGAATGAAAAAAAGTGGGGAAGATGGAAATCAAGAAGGAAATTTAAAATTATACTTGAATTAAATGAAAATAAAAACACAACATACCCAAATACAAGGGGTTCAATGAAGGAGGTCCTAAGAGAAACATTCATAGCTCTAAGTGACTACATCAAAAAATGGAGAGATCTCACTTCTATACACATGAATGCTTTAGATACACAAGAACAAAAACATCCAGAAAAGAGTAAGTAAAAAGAAATAACCAAACTCGTGACTGACATTAATATAGATAAGAAAAAAATAAGAATAAATTTTTAAAAAGTGGATTCTTTAAAAATAGCAAGATTGATAAACCTGTAGTCAAATGAACCAAAAGAAAGGAAGAAGATAAAAATTAATAAAGTTAGAGGCTACAAGAAGATATTACAATAGACACTGAGTAAACTCAGAGAATCATAAAGTCACACTTAAAATATCTGTATCCAAGAAAACTGGAAAACCAAAAAGAAATCAATGAGTTTCTACATTGATATGAACTATCAGTGTTAAACCAAGACGTGAATGATTTATATAAACACATAACAATCAAGATAAAAAAAAAAAACAATACTTAAAAACTTACACACACACACACACACACACACACACACACACACACACAAGATTATTTACCATAATTAAGTCAGCTTTATTTCAGAGACTCAGGTTTAGTTCAACATATATAAATCAATAAACATATTTCATCACATAAGCAGACTGAAAGATAGAAATAACAGAATCAGCCTACTAGATACAGAAAAGGCCTTTGACAAAATCCAAAATCTTTTCATTATAAAAGTTTCAAAGTGACTAGGAATACAAGGGACATACCTCAATATAATAAAGGCAGTTTACTGCAAGCCCACAACCAACGTCAATCTGAATGAAGAGAAACTCAAAGCATTTCCACTAAAATCAAGAACAAGACAGGAAGTGCCCATTCTTTTCATTCCTGTTTAACATAAGACCTGGGGTCTTAGCTAGAGCAATAAGACAAGTGAAAGAAATTAAGAAGATACAAATAGGAAAAAGGAGACCAAATATTCTTATTTGCAGGTAATATTACTTTTTTTTGAAAGTTTTTAATAAATGTTTCCATTATTTATTTCTGTATTCCTTAAAAACAAAGTCCCATCTGACAGTCCCACTCTAAAACTCTGCACGGACAGCAACTCTCATCCCGCAAGCTGATCTATGTTCTCTGTACTTCTGCTTGCCAGATGATCTTCAATAACTTTTGCAAACAGATCCCTCTTCAACAGATTATATGCAAGAGGTAAAAGCTGGCCAGCAACTTTGTGAAAATAATGAGAGCCATAGCAAAAGAGGTCCATTCCTAATTCAAGCCCCATGCCATAATCACATTCATCATTAGCAAACTGCACAAAAGTCATCATTTCCTGAATGGGAGCAAACGCTTTCAGTCTCTCCTCATCACTTGCAGCCTCAACAATTGCCTTGCAAATTCTTTTAAGGTCAGCATCTGTTTCAGGGAGCTCTCGATAGCCAACGTCATTTTTATCGACAGGAACAACCAAGCCTGCACCATGAAAGGTCTTTGTCACAACCTTCTTATCTCTCTGTTTCATCTTCAAGGTTCTCTGTTCCAGCGAGTAGCCTAGTTTTCTGGCTGCTTCTGTGAGTTTCTCATCTATGTTTTTCAAAATGCTAGTTTTCTTTCTATCTGTTACTTCTTTAAGTTTTTTCATCAAAAATAACTTGATGGCAGCAAACACATTGTCTCCATTTTGAATAATTACACAATTTTTCTTTGCCTCATTTGTACCAACATATACAGGAAGTTCATCAGGAGAATCCCGGCTGGCTTTTCAGGATCAAGCTCTTCACAGAACTTCCAGAAATGATAGAAATCTTCAGGTAGGGAAAGCTGATAAAGATTTTCTACTTCTTTCCGAAGGTCACCGGAGACATCAGCTTCACAGGATTTACTTTTCTTCACTTCAACTGCCTTTTCACACTGCGGCCCCGCCCCGCTCGGCCTGCGCTTCCCGCCGCCGCCGACCATCCTGTAGCAGCCGTGATATTACTTTTATATATGAATTATTCTAAAAGTTCCACAAAAAATCTAACAAATTCATTTGTCAAAGTATCAGGATGAAAACAACACCAAAATCAGGATCTTTTCTATATATAAACAACAAACATACTGAGGAAGAAATAAAGGAGACAATACCAGTCAAAATGACTTCAAATGTTCTTGGAATAAATCAAATTAAGGAACCAAAAGACTTGTATAATAAAACCTTTTAAGACTGAAAAAGATGGAAAGGCTTCTATGCTCATGGACTAGAATTAATATTGTAAAAATGGCCATCATACCAAAATCAACCTAGATTCAGTACAAGCCCCATCAAAGTTCCAACACATTTCTGATTCAACAAAAATATTTTTAAAATTTATTTTACAAAAATATTAAGACACGTATGAAAGTCATAGTTTTTTAAAAAAAAAAGGATACCAATGCTATTTTCAATAGTGAACAATGAGATTTGAAAGAATGCAAATGGTTTTAATAGAGTATTAATTAATAGCATTTTTAAGTACATCAAAACATTATTTTGAGTAATATAAAACAATAATAATTCTAAGCTCCATATCCTTGTTAAAGCTAGTCTCTGACAGTAGCGGTAGATGAAAAAAGTTTCTACATTGTGACTTACTTTGAGCAAAACATTGTCCCCTGAAAGATCACAGTGTACTGTTATATTTAGAAACAAACACAGAAACACAGAATTTTCTCAAGAATCATGCAATTTGAAATGAGCAAGAACAAGCTATTTTACAGATTAAGTTTTAAGATGTTTCTAAATGATAAGCAAGATAATTTGGTGATTAAGACCACTTGCTCTTCTTCCAGAGGGCACAGGGCCCCAATTCCAGTACTGACATTAGATTTCACAACCATCTGTAACTCTAGTTCCAGGAGACCCTCTGCCTTTTTCTTGACGCTGAAGATACTGTATGCATGTGGTGCACACAGACACAGGCAAAACACTATGCGCATGAAGTAAAATAATCTTTTATTAAATTTTCTGAACTGACATCACATTCAAGGACAGTTATGAGTACAAGAGTACACTTTGAAATAATGCCTTACACATGTGTAACACTATTTTTCAAAGTACTTTCAGGAACATTATCACACACACACTCATAAAAAAACCTCATAAAGTGTGCATTTTCACATTCAAAATTCACTTGCCAGTGAAAAGGAAAACTATAGCTTTATAGTGTGTATTCTAACTAAAAAAGTTCAACAAGATGCATATAGACTAAGAATATGTTTAATCTTGGTCTGTGATGTTTTTTTCTTTCCAATTTTTATAATAAATCATAAATTAGTTTTAAGTTATAAACTAATTAGAAGATATCATTTTATAAATTAAAAGACATATATGCTCCACAAATAGGTATTACTGATGGCATATTCCTAAAAGCTGATGCTTGCATTTAGATATTATACAAATATGCAAAGCTAAGTAATGCAAAAAATACAGGTGGTCACCCAACTTTTCCCCATTGTCACCACCTAGGTGAGCTCTCCAGCACGGCCTCAGTCAGTTCACCCAATACAGCCTGCAGCAAGGAGCTGGGCCACTGCTCTTACCCAGGTCTCAAGTCTGACTCACCCACACTCACACCAGCAGGGCCAACTCCACTGTCTTCCCTGGGTGAGGTGCAGGACCCTATCTCCTGATTGCTCTAGCGGGAATATGAGGGGCGACAAGGTCAGCTCTCCTCTCGTGCCCTCAGGTCTGGCTCGCCTTTGCTACTGCCAACAGGGTCAGCTCTAGTGTTCTACCCAGGTAGTGTGAAGAGTCATTTTTCCATGTGCTTCAGTCAGCTCTCATGATCCTGGGGTCACCCTCTCACCTGCTGCAACTAGCAAGGAGTGGGTAAGGAGTGGGTTGAGGGGCATCATTCCTTCACCCATGCTACCACATGGCAGACAAGGGGGGGTAGAGTCATTTCTGTTCCTCTCATGCCCTCAGGGCCAGCTCACCCACGTCCCCAACAACAGGATCAGCTCTAGTGTGCTGCCCAGGTAAGGTGCACACCCATGGTGAGGTCTGGGGCCATCTTTTCTGATTGTGAGGGCTAGCTCTCCTGTAGTGACCAGCAAGAGAAAGGGCCAGCTATCCCAGGGCCAGTGAGAATCAGGGTCAGCTCAGCACCACCTTTGGACTTTAGCACTTGTGGTTTCTGTGACTTCTTCCTCCCCATGGCAACATGGGCCATGAGCATTCATGCCTACCCCAGGCACAGCAGCACTACAAACCTAGACATGGATGGACCTTGGCAGCAACTTGATCCCAGGCATCCCCAAGACCTGGTGGCAGCACAGACAGCCCAGTTCAGTATGGCCCTAGAGGCAGCATGGCCCTTGGACACAAACATGGTCTCAGGTGGCAAACCAAACCCTGGGCATCGGTATGGCCCTCAGACACTAACATGGCCCAAGGTGTCAACCCAGACACATGGCCATTGGCATGGCCTTCAACGGTATCAGGAACTATGGACATCAATACAGATCCTGGTCATGATAGAGCCACAAACACAGACATGGTTCTGAGCAGGAACCCTGGCCCAGATGATACCATGGCCCTGGGTGGCAATGCTGGCTGCTCAAATAGGCATGGCTCTGGTAGCAGCACAGCCCTCAGACACCCACATGGTCAGAGGTTGTGGCCTAGATCCCGGGCATCTGTACAGCCTTTGGTGGCAATATGGGCTACCAGACATCAACACACATCCTGGCTGTGAAAGAACTGTGGAGCCAGACTTGGTCTTCAGCAGCAGCCCGGGCCATGTCTCCAGGTGGCAGTGCAGGCCCCTCAGATGGGCATGGCCTCCATGACAGCATGGCTCTCAGACACCAATAAGGCCCCAGGTGGTAGCCCAGACTACAGGTCTCTGCACGGTCCTAAATGGTGACAGGAGCCATGGGCGTCAAATCAGGCCCCCCTCGGCTGCCTCAGGACCTCGAAACAAGATTGGCTTTTGGCTATAGCCCAGGTCCAGACGTCACCTTGGACCCAGGTAGCAAGTAGGCCATCACATTAGCATGGTCCCAGCCATTCTCACCTCTTCAGATCCACCTGTCTCCCCAGCCCAGGGACTGGTCCTCCTCTCTGTCTCTTTCACCTCCGCACCCTGGACTCATTCACCAGAATGCCTCTGGTGCCTGGCGTGCTTGATTGAGTCCTGGCCCCACCAGTCTCACAGTGCAGAGCTGTTGCAGATACTTCTGAGAGCAGGCAGCAGGTGAAATGAGTCTCTCTGGAAGATGGAGTCTGTACGGTTGTTGCAAATCTCACCCTTTGTCACAGAAACTTTAGAACGCTAGAGTTTGGCCTTCGCTGATTTATAATTTCTAGGGATGGCCCTGTTTCTGCAGAATTTTGAAGAAAAAAATGTGGAAACAGCTCTGATTCTTAAAAACCTCATCTTAAATGCAGTTTCCTTCCTATAAGTCAATTCCTCACGAACAAGATCAAAATCCCACTAATCTACTTTCTCACGCTATAAAGTAGATTGACATCAGCGTGATAGCTCACCCGGCTTCCATCATGACTTCATATGACTTCATCTTCACTCTTCTGGAGCTATTTACACGCATTTCTACATGGCAGGACTCCTATCTCGCTCATCCACGTTATCTGCAACCTCCGCCGTTCCAAACAGCTCGCTATTGTAAATCGGTAGAGCTGCATCAGGCTCCTCCTTCCTAGAGTCTCACACTATAGTTTTCTTCCCAGTTCACTTCCAGCATATGAATATTGATAGTTATTAACATATCTTACATGTTGTAGTAGTTATTATATAAAAATTACTATCAGGAATGAGTTCTACATAATCCTCCCCAAACACAGAGGCCACCTTCATGGCTATGACTTTTCCATTTTTGCTTCTTTTCTTTCATATTTTTTCTCTTTCCTTCCATCTTTCGCCATCTCGCTCTCCTTTCTTCCTTCTTTCCTTTGTTCCCTGCCTCTACTGTTCTTCATCCATGGGCTAGGCATGCCTCGTCGGATGACACCTGAAGGAACAATAGCAACGACTTTGGGTACTTTGTTTCTTATTTGAATTAACTCAGAAACTAAAAATTAATAATTCATGCAAATTAAGTAAGCCAACACTGACATCTAGTGTGTAATGAAGAAATAACTTACTGTACAAACTACGGAATGCTTCAAGGACGTTTTGTGATTTTAATGTAGGAGTACCTATCTCAAACGAAAAATCTTCTAAGTTATAATTACCAGTACGGGAACTGTGGGAACTGTGATATATAAAACCACCTGAGTGAATATGATTTATTGTTATTAGTTCCATGTACAAGTGAGTAGAAAGAAGAAATTATTGATCATGAAACATCCCCATTCAATCAGTGTATTTTTCCCCAATTGGGACACTTTTTAGGCAACTGTAAACCCAGAGAGTTGATAAATGACATGGTTGCTCTGACTCTGTATAAATAGGATTTACCTTTGTAGATTTCCCTGAGCCCATTTCTCAGAAGTAGATGTGTATTTATTGCCTATTGCTCCCCAAGTTGCATTTCTACTTACTTCAGACACAAGGTACCTAGGTAACCCTTAAAAAACATGTGATCAGTGAGATGGCTCAGCAAATAAAATTACCCACAGCGTACCTGATGATATGAATTCTACGTCCCAGACTCACATGGAGGGAAAAGAGAACTAACTGCCACAAGCTGCTCTGATCTCCACCATGCACCATAATAAGCTTGCCCCACACACCTGCATTCACAGGTGAGCAATTTAAAAAATTTAAAAAGAAATATAAAGCAATTACTTGATCTTCATTATTATGTAAAGTTCTAAAACTGTACTGTATTATGGAGGACATTTATAGTTCAGAAATCCAGCACTTGTTAGACTGCTTAGTTAAATCCTGCCCTCATTGTCCTCCCTATATTCCTGCCTATGTCTTCATCATATTTGTCAAATATTAATTTGCTAAAGTTATGTTTGGGTATCAACTTT